CTCTTGCACGCTCGATGTGCGCTATGCGTGGTGCGGCCTGCGGGGTGCCGACTGTGCGGTCCAGCCTACGCGGTGCTGTCTGCGCCGTGCAGCATATGGGGGCGCAACACACGTGGCGGCGCAAGCTGTATGGTGCAATCTGTGTGTTGCAGCCTGCGCGTTGCCAATTCGCCGCAACGGGGCCCCCGTTTAGTTGGCTCTTCCGCCAGCGCAGTTACTCTGCCTGGCCGCCGACGCAAAAAGGGCTGCAGCCTATGAAATGCAATTGATGGGTGGTCCAGTCTACAACAGGCGACATATGTGACACGGTCTATGTGGTGCAAGCAAGGCATTCGCTGCAAGGTACGGTGTGCTTCTTCTGTGGCGCGAGTTACGTGTTACAATATGACCGCATCCGCGCATGGCCATCTAAAATGCTCGCACAAGCACAGAAACCACCCAGCATCCCCGAACTTGCTGGCATAATTCAACAGGGCGGCGACAACAACGATAGTGATGAGCATGCTCATGACGACGGTGGGGACGATGTCGACGACAACGATGATGACGGTGATGAAGCTGGTGGTGACGATAACGACCGTGGCAATAATGACGCTGGCGATTATGATGACGATGGTGTGAATGAGGCTGATGAGGAAGTGCGTGCACTTAAAAAAGTTGAAGAGGGCGGCGACACCCACGATGGCGATGATGACGGTGGTGGTGATGGCAGCGACGACGACGACGACGACTGTGATGATGATGATGATGTTGATGATGTTGATGATGATGATGATGATGATGTTGATGATGATGATGGTGATGATGATGATGATAATAGTGATGCTGACGATGACGAGGGCAATGATGATGCTGGTGCTGATGATATAAAGATGTCGACGCGCGCGTACGGACACGCGCGCGTGGCCCGTGTAGTTCTGTTTGGAAAATTGGCAGTCGCACGATGGTGGTAAACGTTTTCGACATGCGCGCGCGCGTATGGCCCACTTGGGACTTTGGGGGCCTCCTGGGAGGTTCTTTGGGCGGAAGGCTGCAACTTTCGAGTCGGAATTCCCCTCCTGGACCCCTCCTGGAGCCGTCTTAGTCGGCCCTTGGGCCGCCTTGGCGCCCTCTTGGGCTATCTTCGGGGCCTCTTGGGAGCGTGTTCGGTTCGTTTGGGGAAGTCTTGAGGGCCTCTTGGACCGCCTTCAAAGCCGTGAGGCCCCAAAATCGCATATGCTTAAAATGTGCGCTTCGCCTAGAGGAATGTAACGAATTTGGTCTCTTGGGATCCTCTTAGGAATGCTCTTGGAGGCCTCTTGGGACGTCTGGGAGCCTTCTGGGCAGTCTTGGGCGACTCGGGGCCTTCTTGGGCCTTCCCGGGGCCCGTTTTGGGGCTAACTTGGGCCGTCCTGGGCAGCCCTTGGGCCGTCTTGGCCCCCTCTTGGGCTGTCTTAAGGGCCTCTTGGGAGTGTCTTAGGCTCTCTTGGGCAAGTCTTGGGAGCCTCTTGGGCCGTCTTCAAAGCCGTGAAGGCCGAAAAGTCGCGTATGATAAAAATGTACGTCTCCCCGGAGGAATTCAACGATTGTGGCTCCTTGGCGCCCTCCTGGGAGTGCTCTTGAAGGCCTCTTGGGACTTCTTGGACCGTCTTGGGGCCATATTTTTTTTTTGTTTTGTTGGTTGATGCAAACAAAGACAGGTAATGCACGTGGGCTCTGCACTGCTGCGCGACACAATCAAGGAGAACGGCTCTCGTCGGCCAGCAATGGTAGCTCGGCAAAAAACGGCAGCGCATGCGCTGCCGCTGCCCGGCAGAGTGCAAACTCATCATTTCAGGGAGCGGGAGGCCTCGATTGAACCTCACCGGGGGCCAGCTCCCCGAATGGCTCGAAACACCCGACGGAAGAGACAAGTTGCGCTCTTCGGAGCTCGTAGCCCTTTACTCTCTACTCTCCTGGCCCTTGCCCTCCCTCGTGCCCGAGACAAGGCACGCATGCAACGTGTTAATTGTACCCTTGGGCCCCCTGGTCTGGACAGGTGCAAGACCACAGGATCGGAGACCTGTCAGACGCTGTGTCCCAGCAGAACCACTGCCAGCGCTGCACGAAGCAGATCGAGGCGAGTACTCGGAGTCAGGGTGCTTCCGATCACCCACGACAGGAAGAGCCCTGCGGTGCCTGCGCGTAGCGAAACAATGCGGAAGTGACGCACGAACGGTGATTGTAATGATTTTCGTGTTGAACGAGTTTGCAGGGAGGGAGGCCGACGTCGATGGGCACCAAGGGGCCGAGGAGCCCGGAAGGAGCTACCGTCCCGGCCGCGCCACGAGGGTGTAGACGCCGATCCCGAGCCAAGGATGGGCCCTGCCATGATCGGTGCAGGTGTGTTGGTGGCGCCCTCCTGGGGTCGGGACAGCTAAAGAACGGGTGGAGCAATGAACAGTGCGTAATGCGCGGGGAGCTCAAATGAGTTGCTCTACTCACGCCGAATCTGGCTCAGAACTCTGCGCACCCCGTCTGATGGAACAAACGGGTTAATATTTCTGAGAAACCAATGAACGGCACAAACATGAATGTTTGGAGGCCCATGCGGATCTCTTGGATCCGGGCTGGGCCCCTTTGGCGGCGCGTCCAGCGCGGCCCCTAGCGCGCTCCGCGCGCCAGGGAGGGGCCGCCGTTCAAAGTTCATGCTTATGCCATGTTTTCGTCCTCGGCGTGTGAAAGAAAGGTGCAGTCCCAACAAGAAGCGGAACCAGCACCGCCCCCGGACGACGGCGACAAACTCACTGACGCCGCGCAAGCGTATGAGGGGAACCGTCGAAGGGACAATAAGCGCCATTGCCCTCGCCCCTCCCCAGGGGGAACGACAGGGCTGAAAAGCTGATTGTCTTCCTCCTCCTCCTCCTCCTCCTCCTCCTCCTCCTCCTCCTCCTCCTCTCCTCCTCCTCCTTTTCCTCTGTTTTGCAATAGTGTGTCCTATGAGGGAGACTCCACCTGCTCGAAATCCGCCCGTAGGAGGACACGCCCGACCTCACCCAAGGCGTCCGAGAGCCTCCAGCTCAGCGCGCCTCTCCGTGTGGGCCCCGTCCGATCTGCCCCAAGCGCGGGAGACGGAGCGCCGCCGCGCCCAGCAAAACTCTCGCCCCAACCGTATTCTCCGCCCGCACCAGCGCGAGGGTCTTCCCAAGCCACTGGGTCTTGACAAAGCCGAGGCGTCCGAGGGCCTCCGGCCCAACGCGCCTCTCCGGTGCCCGAGGCCTGTCGGAAGGCCGCCGGGGAGGAGGAGGAGGAGGAGGAGGAGGAGGAGGAGGAGGAGGAGGAGGAGGAGGAGGAGGAGGAGGAGGAGGAGGAGGGGGAGGAGGCGGGGGGGAAGGAGGAGGAGGACGGGTCGCCTAAGCCCTTCGCAGAAACCCTCCAGGCAACTCATGGGAGCCTCCCATACCATCTTGTCGGCTCTTGCGAATAGAAGACGGAACTCAATGGGTATACCAGGCTCTCATGATTTGCTACCGAATTGACTGTGGCCTTGCATCCCTTGCAGGCGCGCAGGCACAACACAGAGTCAAGCAGAGAGACTGCACAGCTAAGGGCCGCGGCTGCCTGGCGCGGCCCGCTGTGCAGGCACAGCGGCGCGTCGGGCGCGCTCCCTTCCGACAGAGCCGCATGCGGGGCGGGGTCACTGTTGAGAGCAGCCGAAAGGGGCGTGGCAGACGGAGGGATGGGTACGCGGCAGAATCAACAACAGGTGTGCGCCCAGACTCGGCGGCGCGCCCCGAAGACTAGAGTTAGAAGTCCCCCCGCCTTCGGAGAAGTTGTCCGCACCTTCCCCGGAAGCACAGCAAACTGCTGGGATCGCCTGAGACCCTGCGAAAACCCTGCAATTTTTTCGCTGCGGGGTTCCTCCGTCATGATCTTGCTCAAGACGCGAGCATGTCTGGGCTGCGCAAGCGCGCGGCCTGACCGCACTGCCTCCGCGGCGGCCCGCTTGACGGCACCGGCTGGGGCGGAGGCCGGCGCCGGAGGGCCATGCGCGCGCACAACGCAGGCAGGACTAGAGCTGCCGCACCGCGCGGGCACAAAAGGAGGAGGAGAGGATGGCAAGAATGGGGGGGGGCACTGGAACGGAGCAACCAAAAAAACGGAAGCATTGCTGTTCGAAGCTTGCTCGTACGACTGGAGCGGCGGACGGACCACACCGTTGCGCTCACGATCGGGTAGGCTGTCAGAGAAAACGTGCTGGCTGCATGCCGCCCAAGGAATTGAACGTGCTGCGAACTTTCCCCAGCAGGCCTTCGTCCACAATCCCTGCTCACACTGAATGCGCAGTGTAGAATCTGACGAACATTAGATGGTGCCTTGGTGCGCGCCGCCACTGTAGGGAGATAAGAGAGACGGAGAGAGAGAGAGGGAGAGATAGGTAAAAAGGAGGAAAGTGAGAAAGAGAGAGAGAGAGAACTGACATCCCAAGGCACTGATATGCAGCAAATCTTGGATAGGCATTCATAGTGTGGTGGCAGCGATCCTGTCAGGACCTGAACGAGGGGCCAACAATTAGGAAAACGAGAGGGGTCGCGAACTGTGAGTGACCTGCCTAAAAACAAGCATGTGTCCGACGGCATTCGTCGGACTCGCGGCGGGCAAACGGCTCAGCCCAGGCCGCGGGAGCCCAACATGGCGCCCGATACAGAGGCCACAGGGACAGCGACACGAGAACAGGGGAAATTGAAAAGTGAAGTCCTGTCTGGCACCTCCAAGGCAGGACTACCCCAAAAAACACAGCACGAATCGGATCCATCCTCAGAAGAAGACCCGAGGCGGAGGGATGAGTGGGCCCTCGTCGACCTCGACCCTTGGGGATTCAACGACCTGTCAGAGCGCATGCCTGGGGTCCGCGTCATCACCCGCAGATGGCACGGGCTCGGCGGCAGCGGTGGTGGCGCCTCCCAGAGGTACAGTGCCTGCTGTCGGACCTAGGCCAGAAGAGCATCCCTCAAGAGCATGAGACCCTCCGTCGGCCCTCCCCCGAACCGACATCGGTCTTGTACCTCGGTCCGACTGCACAGCAACAAAGCCTGCGCGGTCCTGGCCCGCCGTCTCGCGAGCTCGTTCTCTCGCTGCGGGTGCCAACATGCCCTCTGCCCGACTGGGTCGGAACACTGCGGAGGGAGGCGCCTGCCAGCCTGCGCTGCACGCACACTGTCCCGAGGAAGCGGCACCTGGCGGCAGTGTGCGCACCGCGCACGGCGGCGCACCGGGGCAGCGCCCGTCCCCGGGCGGCGGGTATGTTCAAGCTCTGGCCTCGGATACAGTTATCGGCCTGACCCAAGGAACGAAGCCCCTTTTGTCCCAAGGAATAAAACCTGAGGAGTAAGTGTTCCTTATTCAAGCCGCTCGCTGTACCCTGAGTCATGAACGGAAAGGGCGGGCGCAGCCTCTGCCTTCGCACCTCGAGGCCTGCGTGCCTGCCCTCGGGAACAATCTCCCAGGGCGTGAGGGGCATCAGTCGTGGCCCCCGAGGGCGCCGCAGCAGCAAGTCGAGGCCTCAGGGCGGCACCCGCAGGAGCGCGGGCACGACCGGCTGGCGCTCGCCCTGCGCAGCCCCGCCGCGGCAGCCAGCCGCTCCGCGCGGCTCGCCCGGCCGGCTCAGCGACCGGCGAGCCACCCGGACGCACCCGCGAAGAGCTCCTGGGCCGTGGCCCGCTGCCGCCAGTCCTGGAGGCAGCACCGCTGCAGGGCCCACGCGCTGCCGCCCCACGCGTCCCGGGGCTGCTCGGTCATCGCTCGCCCCCTCGGCGAGCCGCCGCCGCCGTCGGAGCTGCCGTCGGCGGCGTCCTCCGAGTACGTCTCGGTGGAGGCCGCCGCCGCGGAGGTCGCCGTCGGCTCGTCGTCGGAGTCGCGGGAGGGCGTGCGGCCGTGCAGCATGAAGTGCAGGCACAGGCCGAGGGACCAAACGTCCGCTGGCGACGCGTACGGCCTGTTCAGGACCTCTGGGGCGCGGAACTCCCTCGTTCCGGTTGGGGTCAGGAGCTCGCCTCCCTCGGTGCTCGCGGCGACGTTGAAGTCGATCAGCTTCAGGACGCCCCCTTTCGAGACGAGACAATTGGCAGGCTTCAGATCGCGGTGAACCGTGTTCCTGCCATGCAGGTAAGCCAATCTGGCAGCCGCTTGGACGAACAAGCGCATGGAGCACAGCTCGTCCAGGCGGCCCGCACAAGTCGAACGCACAACCGAACGCAGAGTGCGGCCCGCGATGTCCTCCAACACCAGTGCCACACACGATAGCGATTCCAGGAAATCTAAGGCGACGATGATATTGGGATGTCTGAAATTGGTGAGGAGATCAAATTCCCGCTTCGCCAAGGACACCGGGCCGACATCCAAGCGACGCAATGCCTTAATGACGACAGTCCTGTTGTCACAAAGCCTCAGCGCACGGTAAGCAACGCTTGAAGAGCCCATACCAATACGTTCAAACTTGGCAAAGTTGCTGCTTATGACTTCGGACCTGAGATGAACTGGCGCATGGGCTCCCCCTCCCTCGGCCACTTGAACGGCATGACTTCTCAGCTGAGCTTGCCGTCCACTCTGTCGAACGACGGATGGCACGTTCACCAAGGCCATGTCGGTAAATGAAGCCCTTCGCCCCAGCAGAGTCGAAGCACGAGGCATGCTGCCCTCGTTGGAGGCCTCCTTTGGCAACACGCCGCTCTGCTCCTCGTTGGTTATGGCTGGGCCCGCAGCGCAAGCCATTGCGGCGGCCCTCCACGAACCCACTACGAACTATCGACGCGCATATGTCCCCCGATGCCACTTGAGCCAAAATGGTTACGGACCGTCTTGGGGCCATCTTGGGCCGTCTTGGGCGACTCGGGCCATTCTTGGGCCGTCTGGGGCGCCGTCTTGGGGTCAACTTGGCCGTCTCAGGCGGCCCTTGGGCCGTCTTGGCGCCCTCTTGGGCTGGCTCGGGGGCCTCTTGGGAGCGTCTCGGGCTGTCTTGGGGAAATCTTGGGAGCCTCTTGGACCGTCTTGAGAGCCGCGAAAGCTGAAAAGTCGTACATGCTAAAAATGTACGCTTCCCCATAGGAACTTAATGATTTGGGCCTCTTGGGTCCCTCCTGGGGGTGCTCTGGGAGTCCTCCTGGGCCGTATTGGGCAGCTCGGGGCCTTCTTGCGCCGTCTGGGGGGTCTCTTCGGACCCTCTTGGCTCGTTTTGGCACCCTCTTGGCCTCTCCGGGCCGCCTCTGGGGAGCGAAACGGGGGGGGGATCAGCGGGCTTCCGCCGATGGTTGCGGGGTCGGCCGGCCCAGGCCGGGGGGGGGGGCCTATCTTTCGGTTTTCTCTCGTCTATATCTCAATCTCTACCAGTAATTAGTCGTCACGATAGAAAGTTTACTCAATCGAATCTCATCTAAACAAAATGTAGAAAATGAGTCTAAGATATAATTAGTCGTGTATTCATATAGTGTATATGCGGTGCAAGCTGCGTGCGCACCTGGAAGCGCGAGGCAACGCACGAGGCAC